AACACAAGAAAGTTTGAAAAGTGTTTGCCCAGAAACCACTTTCCAGAAAACAAACACAGCTAAAAAGGAAAACACTTTCCTGAAAATTAAGCAAAAAAATTTTTTTGACTAAAAAATATTTTCGTTGACCAGAAAGTGTTTTCTGTTGACTGGAAAGTGTTTTTCGTTGACTGGAAAGTGTTTTTTGTTGACCGAAAAATGTTTTCCGTTGACTAACTTTTCTAATAACAAACAAACACAGGAAAGTTTGGAAAGTGGTTTCCCGGAAACTGTTTTCCGAGAAACAAACATAGCCTTAATGACATGATGAAAGTTTTTATGCGCTTGTACGTGCAATGCATGTATTAATAATTTTTTAAAATTAATATTACTTAATTATAGTAAAATGTAAAAATATTCTTTATAAAAATATATAAATACCCTATGACCAAAAGCTTCTATTTTACTGTACAAATAATGTTTAGATAATTTACCGTACAATCAAATATAAAAAGAATAATATACCCTGGATTAAAAACATTTAATCTTTTGTCTCTGATACAGTCTAATATTTTTATTATTCATTTGAAATGAAAAGGACTCCAATACCCTTCTAGAACATGCCATTTATTATTTAAATAAAAAGCAAAATAATAATTTAAAAATTCACGTGTCTTGCAATTCTGTGAATCCACTACTTCCATTTTCCCTTCGTTTTAGATTATTATTTTATTTGTATTCATTTTCTCAATTCAAGTAAGTCAATTAGGAGAGGTAATTTTATTTAAACTAGTAAGTTTTTAGTCTTTGAAAATTTATCCTTGAGGTACACTTTCATAATCTATAATTATTTCGTCCTCAGTCAGGCACACAGGAAGGTACAGGTAGCGTCATCTTTTAGTCAATGGTCCACAAGGAGATTAATGTGATTAAAGAAGCTCATCTCAGGTGACGCAAATGGCACACCTTATGAGAAATAAATGAAAAACATATTTTTTTCCCACGTGTCAGCGACGCCACCGGCACACCTTATGAGAAATAAATGGATTTTTTTTTTTCACGCGAGCGACAACAATTAAGTAATAAGACAAAGAGTATGAAAAATTTATTGTTCATTTATGTTCAGTATTAATTATAATAGTAATTTATAATGTATTTTGTTTTTTTAAATTTTTTTTGTACTTTTTTATACAGTATATTACTTTTTGTTTCCTATTTGCAGTGTATTACTTTCCTTCCTTTTTTTTTCCCAATTAACTTTATCAATTTTTTTTAATATTAATCTGTTTAAAAAATTCGCTTTGTATCTTTTTATTAATAATGTGTTATTTTTTTTCTTTATCTTTTTAAAATTTTGTTATTATTTTTTTAAAAAATATTTTTATTTATTTTTTTAATATTGATGAAATTAAAAATTAAGTTTTGTAATTTATTTATTTAAATTTTTTCTTTTTATGGGATTATAATGATATATTTATTTGTTACGGTAACCCGAGCTATCCTGGTTTACAGGTTTGATAGGATTTTTTTTAATTAAATTAAATTTTGTTATCGTTTATCTGATATAATTAAAAATAATAGCTTTTTAGAAAAAAAATATTATACATGAAGCTAGAACAGAAGAGGAAAATACTGTAGCTTCTTTATATATTACTGTGAATTGCTATAGTATTTTTTTATTTTTTCGTTCCAAAATTATGCTACGGTATTTTCAACATGATTTTTTTTGTTATATATTTTTTAAAAAATCAACATTATTGATTTTATTTTTTTAATATTGAGTTGATTGAGAATTTAGTTCTGTAATTATTTCTCTTCAAAACACTGTGAATTATTGCAGTGTTTTTCTACTTGTTTTTTATGATTTTTTAAAAATTATATTTGTTAATTTTATTTAAAAAACATTGTAGGATTTTTACAAAATATTATCAATTGCTATAATATTTTTCATTCTAAAATTATCCTTGTCGATTTATTTTAATATTAAGTTGGTGAGGCATGTGACTTTATAAAATTTTTTTGTTTTTTATTACCGAAAAACTTAAATTATGTGGTGAAAATATTATATATTTTCTCATAAAATATTGTAGATTGCTATAAATCATTTTATTCAGTCTTTAAGTTTTTTATCATTAACACAACTTTTTTCATCCTTTCATGAAATATTGATTTTATTGTATATTTAGTTTTTATTACTTATCAGGTGCTAATTAACAATTATAACATTATTAAATATATTTATTTTATAAATTTACGATGGTACACGGGCATGTCATCTCATTCATGTAATAAAACTATTTGGCTATCGAGATGAAGGGAAGCATTATACTGTCATTAAATTTTATTTTATTTACTAATTTTTTAAATTTAGATTTGAAAATAAATATTTTAAAAATTTATTTGCAAAAACATTCATATTCTAATTATTATATATCCGATAGCTTTCATCAATAAAATTTAATTTATTTGATTAATGCATGGCGGAAAAGGGTTGCCTCACCGTGTAGTCAAATGTCCAACAAACATTTAATAGATAAGATCAAGGAGAAAGAAAAAAAAAATTATTCTTTCGAAAAAATCTACACGTGTTAAAGCTGATACTCTAATGATCAAAGGCAAAAAAACAAAAAAATGAGTCAACCACGATGTACAGTTCCCGGGTCCTCGGTTGGACCAATTTTTGCCATCTTGCGTCTGGTATTGGACTCTTCGTACTGATGAAGTCGGCCCGTGCGCGGCTCCTTGGACCTGGAGGTTAATCTGTCAAAAGACACTCTCCGCGTGCTTGCCATTAATGATTGTGTGATTAATCTAGCCCCCTCTTCTTTTGGGATTTTTGCAAACAAGACCTTGCAAGGTGCAACCCGTTCATTCCATTTCAGAATTTGGCTTCAAGTTGTGGCTGTGGTTTTTAGCCATGTTTGTTTCCGTGACATAACATGTTTTTTTTAAATTATTATTTTTAAATATTAAATTATTATTTTTTAATGTTTTTATATACTTATGATAAAAAAAATATTATTTTGATATATTCATAATTAAAATATATTTTTACAAAAACAACTAACATCAACTTATCACCTTCAAGGTTTATTAATCATGGTGTTTCAAAGCTAAAAATTGTTCAAAATTAAAAAAAAAAAAAATAAATTTTGGAGTTTTCTTGTGAAGAAATTATGCAAAAACAAGGTTTGGAAAACTGCTTGCAGTGATTGGTAAGTTGAAATCCTAGTTATAGGATCCATCTATGATTCTTGTACGTCTAATTTTATAACGAATTATAGCTCTTTTTACCAATTATAAATATAAATTCTAGCAGTTTTGATGCTATGTTTTAAAAATATTTTTAAAAAATTAAATATTTTTATTTTAAATTAATATGTTTTTAATATTTTTAAATTATTTTAATATATTAATCTAAAAAATAACTTTTTTTAAATAAAAACTATTTCAAAACACAACCATAACAAAAAAAAAAAACACACACCATGTTAAACCCGCAACGTTTTTTGTTTCTAAAGTTGAAGATGGGATAAAAGCAATTTGCTCACATCAACACGTTTTTTAAAGATGTTTTTGATCTAGATGATGAACATGTTAGCTTTCCACATCACTATCTCGAACCTTAACGCTCAATAAAAAAATCTCACAGCAGATACTTTTTATAGAAGTTATTTTAGGATTTATTTTTAAAAATATTTTTTATTTATAAATATAATAATTTATTTTTTATTTTTTTAATATTAACACATTAAAATAATTTAAAAATACAAACAATAACTTAAAACAAAAATAATATAATTTTTTTAATATTTTTAAAATACAAAAAGCAAACAAACTCTTAAAAATCACGTCCTTGACCCATTAATAGTCAACTATTTTATTGTTGCACAATAGTTGTGGGTGTGGACTCAAATTTGTTAAAGCATGGTAGACAATTAAGACATAATGATCTGAATTTGAATTTTTTTATACAATTATTTATTTAACCTGAATTTCAAATTAAAATATATATGGATTGTTCTAGTATTGTTTTGTTAATTAGGCATTTCAAAAGAAAAACACATGTATATATAAAAAATGCTAAGTTAAATCTAACTAACCTATCATGAACAATCATGAATTTTATTAGATTAAATTATTTTTTACATATTTATTATATAATAAAAAATATAAAAAGCAATATAATATTAACAAATAAAATTAAACAAATACTTTATAGGATAAAAAACCCGAAACGTCTGTTACAACACAGCCTATACAAGCAGAACCGAGGGAAGCTCGTGGTCAAGGGCCAGTATTTATTTTTTGTCGCCCGTACCTATTTTCTTTTAAAAAGAACGACAGTTTGCCTTCTATTACACATAAGCTTCGACAGAGCGATAGAAATACTATCAATATTAACTTTTTTAAACTTTTTAAAAAATATTAAAATATCAACCGCGTATCAATCAATATATAATAGTCCCACTTAAAATCCAACAGGGGAGGATTTTAACAATTTACATTTGTACACAAAAGTGGTACTCAACATAAAAAAGAACTGAGCTAGCTAATTCCTTGTCTAACTAAACTATTATATTTTCAAAATAATCACATTTAATCTTAATATATCTAACTAAAACCAACGAAAAACTCCTTTTTCGGACACAAGGACAGGAGTAACAGTAAAGGACCCAGAATAAAGGGGCAGACAGGAAAATAACACAAAGACAAGGGATTAGATAGTCAAGATAAGAAGCACTAAATTATAATAATTATCTGTAGTGGGAAGCTTTGAATCTTTAATTTCACTCGTTTTCTGCTCTCTCTCTCTCTCTCCCCACCTCCTCTATAATTTTCTTTTAACTTTCTTTCTTCCGCTCCATGTGATCTCCAAACTAGCCTTATTTCACGACCCTCTCCTAGCTGCCTCCTCTCACATTTTTCTCTTCTTCTACAATATTATTTCTCCTGTTCTCCTTCACGTCCTTCTATTCATGTGACCAGTAAGTCATTTTTTGTAATTGGTTGCACTGCATGCTTTGCATTTCTTGTTTTGTGTTTTCTGATCGGCCCAGATGGAGAAAGTGTAGATATGTTTGCGTTTGAGTGAAATTTAAGTTCTTTAAGTTTTATGTTGCGTGGACTTGTTGAATTTTGAGATTTTGGTTGGTCTGGATGATGGGTTTTTCCTTTTCTTTTGTTTTAAGCTGAGGTTGATACTGTAAAGTTCGTTTCTTTTCTTTGGTATAGCTCTGTGTTAAGATTGTCATATTTGTTTATGATTTTTTCATTTTTAATTTGCAAAAGCTTCTATTTTTAGTTCGTGTTTTTTTTTTCTTTTTTCCCCGGTGGAAGTGCTTGATGCTCTTGTGAATTTCGCCACCCTCTTTTTACTGATTATTACTAAATTACTGGTCTTGAATTCAATTTTTATGATTTATAGATTTTCCAATTTGAGAGAGATTCATTAATAGGAGTTAGGAGGATTCTATAAAATTTAAAGGAGAATTGTAGAAGATAAAAGATATTTAATTGGCCTTTTTTCTTTCAGCTTGCATAAAGTTTAAATCTTATTAGTTTTAGAGAAAATGAAATTTTCAGATTCATGATTAGAGAAAGAAGAAAAAATTCCGAGAAGCCATTGAGTGAGTGAGTGATTTCAATCCTTTGTATTTTTTGCCTGTAAAGAATAGTGTTTTCAATTAATTTTTGAGTTAGTGTTTGCTAAAAGTTACTTTGTTTTTGTTACCAGCTTATTAATTGAATCGATCCATCAGGATTTATTGGCAGATATTATCTATAAAACCAATTGATTTGGTGTGAGTTTTGGTCCCTTATTCTTATTGATTTTTTTTCTTGCAGTCTTGCTGGGGTAAAAGAGATGGTTGCTGAAACGTGGTTTCGTGGTCTGTGGAAGATTTCACAGAAGCATGAACCCGGTCCTCAGAAGGCAGTTGTTGGAGTTTTGGCCTTTGAAGTTACAAGCTTGATGTCAAAGCTGGTTCATCTTTGGCAGTCTTTGAGTGATAAGCAGGTTACTAGGTTGAGAGAAGAGATCGCAAACTCTGAGGGTATTAAAAAGCTTATAGCTGAGGATGATGATTTCATTGGTCGTTTGATTTGTTTAGAGATGATGGAAAGTATGGTACATGTTGCAAAACCTGTGGCCAGACTAGGTAATAAATGTAGTGATCCTAGTTTGAAGGGCTTTGAGCATCTTTTTGATGAAATGATCAAGATTCATGCTGACCCATATGCGTGGGGATTTACTTGGAAGAAGATGGACAAGAAAGTTAAAAAGATGGAGCGTTTTATTTCAGTTAATGCTACTTTGTCTCAAGAGATTGAAATGCTTGCTGATCTCGAACAGACTGTGAGGAGAATGAAGAGCAGCAATCCTCAGCCAGATAATTTACATGACTATCAGAAGAAGCTTGTATGGAAGCAGCAGGAAGTGAAAAATCTGAGGGAGATCTCGCTCTGGAATAGAACTTATGATTATACAGTTCGCCTCTTAGTAAGATCGTTGTTCACTATATATAGTAGAATCAGCCATGTGTTTGGAATTAATCGAACAGCATGCTCTGGGCAATCAAAAGCTCTGAGTTCTGACTATATTTACCAAAGCCAGTCAGTTTCTGCATTGCTGCAGTCTTCTGTTCATCCATCTGAGGATAGTACTCTTCCTAGATTTTCTTCTGGCCCCCTTGGTAAGTTCACTGCAAATTCTGGCCTACTTTCAAAATCGAACAAAAATAATTCCTATTCAGGTCCTCTTGGTGGCTCAATCACAAAGTCAGGCCCTATTTCTGGAAAGAACAGGAACGTGAACTTTTTCTCAGGTCCTCTTGGGGGGGCAACGACTAAGTCGGGCCCAATTTCTGGAATAGCTAAAGCTGGCAAGAAGTTTTGGCGAACGCCTCAATCACCTGCCTTTCTGGGAAGGAAACCGCCTTCAAAGCCAAATCGGCTGACTCAAGTGGGACCTTTTAAAGGATGCATGGTAGCTTCAAATACTTCTCCTGTCGCCAATTGCTACTTAATTTCATCTGATGTTCATTCGAGAACCCTCAACGGAGCCAAGGAAAGTAATGCTGACCATCTTCCTCCTGGAAGTGCAAGTCGAACCGGTCCATCAATCTTCAGTTCACAGCAAAAGTTGTTGCAAGCTCTCCCCGAAACCCTTGGTGGTGCTGCTTTAGCATTGCACTATGCTAATGTTATTGTCGTGATCGAGAAGCTAGCTGCATCTCCTCACTTGATTGGCCATGATGCGAGAGATGACCTGTACAATATGTTGCCTGCAAGCGTGAGAACTGCTCTGAGGGAAAGGCTAAAGCCATACTCCAAGAGCTTATGTTCATCAGTTTATGATACTGTGCTTGCAGGAGAGTGGACTGAGGCAATGGCATCAATATTAGAATGGTTGGCCCCACTTGCTCATAATATGATAAGATGGCAATCGGAGCGAAGTTACGAGCAACAAACCTTTGTTTCTAGGACAAACGTGCTTCTGGTACAGACCCTTTACTTTGCCAATCAAGAAAAGACAGAAGCAGCAATAACTGAGCTTCTGGTTGGTCTGAATTACATTTGGAGGTTTGGGCGAGGACTCAATGTGCAAGCCTTGCAGGAGGATGCTAGCAGTATAATGTTTGATGAATACTTGGAGGTGGAGAAGTGACTTTTTCTTCCAGGCCGTGGCAATCACCCGTGCAATCCAGTTACCTCATGTTTGACAGGATTTGACGTGATCCCGGCAGGTCCCTGGGGCATTTTAGTAACATCATTTGCTTTCTTTCTGCTGACGACATTAACGTCGTGCATTCTCCCTGGGCATCCCAAATGCCTGGACATCCTAAATGCCGAAATTGTATGGTTAGTGAGTTGAAGGTAATAGGTAGTTTGAGCTTGAATATACTAGTTCTATTCTTTCTTTTGTGAATGGAGGTTTTCATCTGTTAGCCATTGAAAATGAATGGAGGTTTTCATCTGTTAGCCATTGAAAATGGTGGTTCATCTATTTTCGCCCTCGTAGAGCTAGTTCAGCCTTACTAATCAGGCTGCTATTGAATGATTTGTAATGTGTGTATACTTGTCGGCAGTACCTACCTTTATTAATTGTAAATTTATCACGCAAGGTTTTGGATCGTAAATGGATTGATGGTTGAGCATATTTTTCGTGGAGTGGAGTGCTGCACTGGATGTAACAATATCGTGCCTTTCGAGGTTGATGAGTAAATCTAAATCACCTTTCCAAAAGCAATTTCTGATCTAATTTTTCACTCGAGCCTATGCTAGTGTATTGCATTAAGTGATTATTTGACAGGTATCAAGCACACTGATTCTCCTTACAGTCAGCACGCTGCAACCTTTGGTTTCTTTTCATAGTTGTGTGAAGTCTTTTCATGTGCAACTTTCATGCTTGGTTGCATTTATCTAAGCCCTCCTATTCTGTCAAATACAGTTCCTGTTTTCTACCGTGCTGGCACCATGCTTGTAGCGCGTAGCGCGTGGTGCCTGTTGTTTATGCGGAGATATTAAGGCTGTCTTTGTTTTTGAAAAATAATTAAATTTTTTTTTGTGTTTATTTATTATTAAAAAGTTGATTCATGAAAAATAATTTTAATTAAAAAAAATTTGGTTTAGTTTTCAGAAAATATTTAAAAAAATTAAAGAGAAAAGGCTTTTTGAAAATTATGAAAACTTAAAAAAAAAAATTGCAAGAAGGGATTTGTTTTTGGGGGGATTCAAATGCCGACCACTAGTAAATCGTGGGAGAGTTTATATGGTTGTCTAACTCGGCTGGATTGTGGATTTGTTGAGTTAGTACATGGCAAAAATAACGTCATTTCGAAGAAAAACTAAGAAAAAAAAATCCAGTTGACATGATCGAATTTTATAGAGGTTTGGTCAACCAATCATGAGTTCTAGATTATACAAATGAAGCTGGAAACTTAGATTTGACTGTGTAAACGTTTAAAACGTTTCGAAACTCAAGTCAATGTATCGTACCATAATAATATGAATTTTATTTATTTAGTGGTGGAAAAATAAAGGAAAGTTTGTGCAGATAGTATTAAAGAGATTAACGCTTTTTTTTTTTTTAATAATATTTTTATGATGTGGCCATGCCAGGTGGGAGGTCCGATTAGAATTGAGTAAGAATTACTTTTTAAAGTTTTTTTTTTAATATATTAAAATAATATATTTTTTATTTAAAAAAATTATCTTTGATATAACTTATTTAAATATCCAAAAACACTAAAAAAATTAAATTTAAATCAAAATATTTATTTTAAAAAATATAGTTTAACTGCACTTTTAAATACTCTCTTCGTCTTTTAAATATCATGTAAACATAAGAAGAGAGAAAAAAATTACCCTTTTTTTTTAATGTCAGGGGGGGAGGGGAAGGGGATGGAGATTGGAGCAAGAAAAGATAAGGTATTACTTAAAACTTAAAAACGATTAACAAAACTTTAAGCTGACTTCTTTTTATATATATAATTGTTTTCATTACATTAATAACACTAAAGATTTTATTAAATTCACGATACTAAAAGATGGGCAGTACTTGATTTTAATTACGAAGAAGTAAGCGACATGTGGTTATTTTATCTGAATAAGCGTCATGTATTATTATCCTGGATTTGAATATAAGATGTTTTTTAAAATTAACATATCAAAAAAAATTAAAATATATAAAAATATAATTTTAATAAAATAAAGAAGTTTTAAAAAGTTTTTTTTGAAATGCCAGTTAACTCATGTTTTCTAATATTTTTTAAGATGTGTTTGTTTTTAAGATAGTTTTTGTGGTTATGATTTTAAAAAATAAATTTTTTAAAAATATAATTAGTTAAATTTAGATACATGTTTAGTAAAAATTGTGATTGTGATTTATGTATAGCAAAAAACATGTATAAAATATTTGGTTATGATTGTTTTTTAAAAGTATTTTTTATTTGAAAATACATCAAAATATTTTTTGTAAAAAAAATTTAAAGTAAAGAAAAAACTAAAAAATTTTAATTTTTTTTAAAAATGCTTTTAAAACATAAAAATAAATAAAATTTTATGAAACTTAGTTAAAAAATATGCAAAAACTACTTTATAAAAACTATATTTTAAACTTAATTTTTTATTAAATTCTACAATATAAAATTTAGTTTGATGTATTACCAACTAACTATATTTTGCATACCACAGCTACAGAAGTAGTGAAAACTAACGGAAGCTAAATGTTTTTTAATCATTTCTCAAATAAACCAAAGAAAAATGTATGGTATCTGTTTCTTACATATATATATATATGTGTGTGTGTGTGTGTGTGTGTGTATTATTATTCTTTTCCATGAAAGCCAGAAACCTATAACAAACAGAGATTTAATATATTTCTCTTTGACAATAACTAAGCCAAACTTCCACGTCTCTTTCGACAACTCTCTCTCTCTACAACACGCATTCTCGCTTTCATAACGGCTCACCGCATGTCCGCGTCACGGCGATCAACGTCGCTAACTGACTCCTCCGCCGAGATCGAGCGGATGGAAAGCACCGGTAGCTGGGGCGACGCTCTCGACTGGTTCAAACTGGAGGTCCAAAATTTTCTCGCTCTCAAATTTCAATACAGATAACTTAAAAATTGTTTTCTTTTTTAAATTACTCACCATGTTCTATCTTTTCGAGGTGCAGCATCCAGCGTCACGCTCGGTTTATAAATGCTTGCTTGAGGCAGAGCGTGCTGTAGTCGAGGTGAGTTTCCTTCTTTACTCTTTGCGATTTCATTAAAATCTTGATTTTCTTTTCTTGTGATTTCTTTATAACCTTGATTTCTTTTTTTATTTCTTTAAAGTCTTGATTTCTATTCTTGTTTAGAGTCAATTTTCTTGAGGAATTAGAATGTACATTACGCGTATAGAAGAGCAATTGAGCTAACCCTAATTTGATTGCAATTGATTTTTGTGATGGTTAAATTACTACTACTGGATACAAAGATAAAACTAGAACAATGTAAGTGGCTAGGGTTATTTACGTGAATCTTTCTGCTCAGGCTCTAACTGTTTAGCTCATTCGTTTTCTGCTTATTGTTAAATGGATTGAATCTTGATTTCAGGGACGTGGTGTTGTTCTTATTAACACTAATGAGGCAGGTACCTTGATAGTGACTAATTTTCGTCTTATTTTCCTGGTGAGTGAAGTGTTTTCTCCTTTTCTTTATTCTATGGTAAGATGACGGAATGGTACTGTATTCAATTTGTGTTGTATTCATAGTTTGATATCGTGCCCTGGTTTATTTAAGCATGTTTGAAGAGCCAAGGAATTGTTATTGCTTCACTGAAAATGATGTTGTGTATGCACAAATATTATACTCACTTTATGTGTTCTTCTGTTGTACAAGAGCGAGGGAACAGAAAATATCAGTGCACTTGGAACGATTCCGCTAGCAACAATTGAGAAGTTCAGCAAAATGGTAAATTATTTTTCTTGAACTTATGGATTCATTTTCCCTACTCCTTCCACTTATTTATGGTAACTGTTGGTAAGAAAGTTGTTTATTTCTGTAGCCTGTAAGATATATTTATGCATGGAAAATTCTTGTTGATGCATGCAATTTCTTGGACGATAGTTCATTCTTGTTGGTGTATGTGGGATCTTAATTGTTGCTACAAAAAACAATTCTTTTATCTAATATTCTGGGTTGATACAGATTTTGTTACTGTTTATGTGTCATACAAACTATGTTATTTGGTGAAATTATTCAAATTCTCTGCTGTCATGTGGACTCGTGGAGGAGAGATCAAGAACAGGTGAATGGGAGGCTGACTAATTTCTAAGTCGTATTTCTGAGTTCTTGTTTGTATATATTCAGCTGATGTCGATCACATGTCAATATGTCATGCTACAGTCATATGGGAACGCCAGAACAATGCTTTTGGTCAGATCAATTTTCATATATACATGTCACATGCTTCACTTTGTATGCAAAGGTGATCTGATCATTGACAGGATGCCTCTGAAAGATACTCTTTATTTGTTGTATGCAATGGCATGCAAACAGAAAATGGTGGCAAAACAATGCTAGGATAATAGGTTGTCTGCTACCTTGGTTCATTTTGTGCAGGAATCATATAGATTGATAGATTTTACACAAATTATCTGAAATGACAACCTGTCTCAACTCTTGTCTTTTATAATTCAATTTAAGCCTGAATCCCAAACTACTTGGAGTCAGCAACAGGGATCCATTACACCGTTCTGTTTTAGCATGCGCTAAACTTTCTCTGTGCCAGAAAATCTTCTCTATTAATGATTCTTTTGTTTTGATTAGCATTTGGTTAGGTTAATGGACATGATATTGTTTTGGCTTGCCCACCCATAATACATGTTTATTGGTAATGAAGTTTTTGCATGTTTTTATTTGCTGCCCTATGGAATGTATGCAGGTTGTAAAAAATCAATCAGCCCCTCGTCACTCTGAGAAGACTTCATCGCAGCGTCTTCTCCAAGTCATTGGTATGCGTAACACCTTTGATGTGTTTGTTTTACCATCTCTTAACTTCTTCACCAGCTTACTCTTTTTGTGGGATTTACAATCGATTTGTAGTTTGTGTTTGAAAGATAGAACTTTGGAACAGATTTGACATTCGTGTTGAGTTATAAAATTCCTCTTCTTTGGCTTTGATGATTCAAATTCAAGCAATAAATTAAATTTATGTTAATAATACTCGGGAGACGATGGCAGATTCTGGAGCAAGGGTAACTCAGCTGTTAAGGTGATGGTAGTTGCCAGAAAGGAAGTTTATATATGTTGTCTAGTTTGATAGATTAACTTTGAGCATATGGATTGCATTAAGGCACGAGGTTTGCAATCACTTTATTTCTGAACAGGTAGATTTTTTTGAAGTTTTGCATAATTACTGGAACAATGTCACGGAGTATTGCTATCTGCTATTGGTTGCTTTTGCTTTCTTTGTCTTGTATATTGTTTCTGACTGTTACTTTGATGATACTCTCTTTAGAATTCTCATGGAATTATTGGTTCTTATATTTTGCAGGGAGAGATATGAGAATTATTGTTTTTGGTTTTCAGCCCAAAACAAAGCAGGTTAACTCTTCTTTCTTCAGCTCTTTATTTGCTAACTACGATCACTTACAAACTGAAATTTCTTTCACTTGTAAGATATATGTTGTAAAAAAAATATGAAGTTTATGATTTTGAGGGTTTAAATTATAAATTAACCGAGGAAAGATATAGCTTTTGTTGATTGAATGAGTTCAAAATGGTGAACTGGGTCATCACACCTGCCATGAACAGATATTTGTTTTAAGTTATTTTTTTTAATTATGCAGAGACAGGCTATATATGATGGGTTATTAAGGTGCACAAAACCATCAAGTCCCTGGGATCTTTATGCTTTTAGCTGTGGACCGTCCAAATTTACTAATGCTAACCCAAAAGTGCGCTTGTTGAATGAGTGCTTCCGTCTTCTCGGAAAAGGCTTTTGTAGTGCATCAATAGATATGATTGACAAAGGGTCATATACACTGTCTAATGAGATGTGGAGAATCAGTAATGTAAATTCCAACTACATAATGTGCCCGAGCTACCCTTTTGCCTTAATTGTTCCAAAATCCATCAGGTAAAAGCATTTAGATTCTTACTGCACTTTAAAGTGGAAGGGGTGGGGTGGGGGCTGGGGGGATGAGAACATGTTGAAATCCTTCTAGTTTGACTCAAAAATAATATTTATTTGGGCTTACTCTTCCCTGAACTCTAAAACTAATAACTGTCTTGTTGCTAGTGATGAAGAAGTGGTCCATGCATCCAGCTTTCGTTCCAAGGGTCGCTTGCCTGTAGTTTCTTGGTGTCATCCTGGTATGAAAAAGGTGAAATTTTAGTTATTTTGTGTATCTTGATTTCCATTCTGATGCCTCTACATATGTGGCATTATAGGAACTGGAGCAGTCCTTGCACGTTCATCTCAACCGTTAGTTGGTCTAATGATGAATATGAGGAGGTAGGGTGATCTGCCTACTTAATTTCCCTTCAATGAACTCAAACACGTTGCTCCACAAAAATTATGCTCATTGTAGACACATGCCAGGATTATGGTCTGAAATTGAAGTGACATTTGTGATTGTGGTTGCTGTGTTGCACGCATGCCTTCACTGGTATAAAGAAACAGTGACGGCCATTACATGCACAATTGATGACAATTTTAGCAATTTGTTTTTATTCAGTGAAATTCCAAATAATTTCGGTACAGATGGAATTTCTAATATTTAACATGAATAGAGATATATTAAGCTTCATGAAAGATGTCTTATTATCCTTTTAGATGGTCATGGTCAAAATTTTAGGTTTTAACTCCCTAAACTTGATGCTTAACAATATTTTGCCAAGCTACAAAAATTATTTTTGAAGGGCAGCTGCTATGATGGCTACAATTACTGTCATAGAATCCTTTACAGGCATGATTATTGAATCATGGCGCCAATAATTCCAAAAAGGTTCCAGTCCATTTTGATTCTTTTATGTAACACCTGTTATTTTTTTCCGTTACTAGGATCCATTGATATCTTATCTGTTGAGGTTTTGGAATGTGAACTAAATTTTTTTGTTTGCCATCTGTTGCTTGATATAATGTCAGAATGTCAGATTCACATCAATGTATTTGTCTGCAGCAACACAGATGAAAAGCTTGTCGCAGCTCTTTGCTCTCAACTTGGTGATAAAAAGGGGCGGAGGTAGCGTTATTCAAATCATTTCCCTTTTGTTTTGGTCGAGTTGTCTCATTGTTTTTTTGATATTTCATGTGTGTGCTGTTTCCTTATTATATGCATTAACTTGACTTTCTCGTATTATTCTTTATACCTTGTATGATACCTTAGTTTGAAACGTAATTATGTATCGGTCTACCTAGTTTTGAAGCAATAAAACTCATTCTCAGCTATTAACTAAATCCTATTTCATTACTTCTTCAACATTAAAAAAGAAAAAGTCGTCTTTTCCAAAACCTGAATCATGAAATTGCTTCTCTTTTGCTGTACCTCTTGAAATGCACTGTCCACACAGTTGCAAGGTTCCAGTTCGTGTCTTATCTGAAAATGTCTGGAGAAAAGCAATGTTTTCTTTTAAGGTACCCACTAGGATAGATTTGGTGGAGAGAGGTGGGCCCCATGGCTTAGATGGTTAAAGCAGGTGACTATCCAGCCTAGTGTTTAAACTTTGACCACTCATTACTTGCTGTCGGGTATGATGGGATATACATTTCCTTCTTGAGATGGGAAATCCTAATCAATGTACTGGACTTGAATCATTGAAACTTGGTTACAGGTCTTTTGTTGAAATGGAGTGGCCATACTTTTTGTTATTTTTATTCATTATTTGTTGTCAATGGTGCAAAATTTCCATACTGCATGTCTGGATGAATGAGCACTTTTCTCTGGGGTCTTTATTGTCCTGTAACTCTAATTTATCTTTTGATAAAAATGAGAACTGTAATTTTGTTAATCCACAATGATACACCTGTGTTCATTGCTTGACATTGTGACATACAAGTTATGCTAAGAAATAAGCCCATTATTTCTTTAGATTTGATGTTTGCATTTCTTTTAGTGGCTTATTCTTTATTGCGCTGTGGCTTTTGTAAATGAATGTTCGTAAAATATATATATAATGTTTTTTTTCCTATTTGTCCTCTCCCTGCTTTTGCTTTCCCCTCATTTCAGGAAGTTATCTGTTGCTGAAGCAAGGCCTATAGAAAATGCCAAATCTTGTGTTTTCTTTTCAGGAAGTTATATATTGCTGACGCAAGACCTAGAAAAAATGCTTTAGCAAATGTGGCTATGGGAGGTGGCTCAGAATCACCATCTCACTATTTTCAATCCGAGGTTTGAGCTGTTTAGATATGTATCTCTAGTAGTCATCAGATTTGATATCTCATTTTCATTCATGTCATATTCCTTTCTTTCTTTCTTTTTTTAATTTTATTTTTAATCTGGTATCAGGTGGTTTTCTTTGGGATAGACAACATACATGCTATGCGTGAGAGTCTTTCTCGGCTTAGGGACTACTTGGATACTCATGGCTCCACTTCATCAGACGGAACATTATCACTCTTGGTTAGTTTGTAAGCATCAAGAATTTAAAATCAGGCACCTTTACCTGTGGAAAACTAGTAAATTAACATCAGTGGTAATAAGTAGTTCTTTTTTTTTTTCCCTCTTAAATACATTTTAAGAAAATGATGATGTATTATTTTGTGCAAGTGGAACATGCATCTCTCCATTTTTCGAGTTACATGTAAACATAATTGAGTAACCTGTCCTTGAATAACATCAGATATATAAACAAATAATCAGATGTAATGCATGACTGCACAGTACAGTTCCCTATTTTACCATTAACAAATGATTGGAATAACCCTCGTGAATGGGCTGTTGTTTGAGGCTCTGGGTTAAAGACTAGAGTTTTCATGTTCATTTCCTGTGCTATTGTGAATGCATCCTCAATTGGTTCGATTGTATTCAGCGATCTATATGGCAACATATATTGGAGATACCATCCTGTTCACAATACAACTCTTATTCAATGCGCTGACATCCTCATGCCTTGTGTGCTTGTCTAATGATGCGCATGAGCCAATGTAAACCTTTATCTTGACATTGGTGCATCAATGGTTTTATCTATAGTCAAAAAGGTACTTAAATATGCTCCTCATCTTTTCAGTTGGGATTTTTCAATTAGTTCACGGCACGGCATTGATCTTTGGTTGATTAGCTAATAGCTCTAAAACACTTTGAAGGCTAAGTAAAGATATTTTCGCAATATGGGTTCATAAGCTTTGCATTTGTTATGTTTCCTATGCTTTCTTACTGAACTTGAGCTGAAATGCAGTGTTTGTAGTAGGTGTTAATATCTATATTTGTTCATGCCATTTTTCATTTACAGAGACATGGTGGCTGGACCTGGGGTGGAGGCAATCTCAGCAGTATGTCTGCTTCTGTGGCAACCCTCGGTGACAGTGGTTGGTTAATACATGTCCAAAGTGTCTTGGCTGGTTCAGCTTGGATTGCTGCTCGTGTTGCTTTGGAATCAGCATCAGTGCTTGTACATTGCAGGTCAGATATCTTGACTTTATATGTTATATTAATCTTTGTAACAACTGGCAGAATCTTTTCTTTTCTGTTGCCACAGTGATGAAATCTGAAGATTTTTAATGTTCTGCATGCTACATACCCTCTTTTTGTCCTTTTGTTTTGTAAATTCTATTTCATATGCTGTCAATCTATTTTAGTTTCTATTCATTATGCATAATCTAAAAGAAAAGCCTTATTAATTCCATACATGGACATAAAATCTAAATCAAGCTTTCTTACTTGTTAATTCCATACATCAACTTCAAATCTGAATCAGGCGCTCTACCAGTAGATCTTGCATCTACTTTTATTCTTTGTGTAATCACATGGATTGAGCTTCATATACTGATTAGCAGAAAAACCTGGGTCTCATTGCCCAGCAGATCATGGTTTCATTTGTGAACTTGGGGAGTCATCTGCCTGCTACCAGACTACTGGCCCACATTTGTTCTGCTTTTAAACAGAGCGGAAAAGTTGCTTAGCTGAATCATCTAGCAAGCATTTCAGTTGAATAATTTTTCATTATACATATTTTCATTAATTAGCAAAATTTGCTATCAGAAAAAAGCTGCCTTTTCTGTTTTCAATTTCGTGCTTGCTTTTAGAGCTTCTGCATGAGCTGATTTCTTGTCTTTCATTCTTTTGTCTAGCGATGGATGGGATAGAACTAGTCAGCTGATTTCACTTGCTAATTTGTTGCTTGACCCTTACTATCGTACATTCACTGGGTTTCAGGTATTTTCTTCCACTGCAAGGCTCCTTTGTTGGTTGTGTATTGTTCTTTGTATATGCTTAAGCTGTTGCGCTTATGAGTGTACACATTTCTCTCTTATTAGTCTTATGTTACTTTTACTATAATATGAAACGGATTTTATGCCTCTCCAGATAAAATAGCTTTCTTTTTCCCTGGATGTGAAATTTTACTTTCTGGAATATCTTAATTCAATGCAGGCGCTCATTGAAAAAGACTGGCTAGCATTTGGTCATCCATTTGAAGAGCGAATGGGAATGCCAATTGTATCTGGATGCAGTGATAAGCCTCTTGATTTATCTAGGCAATCTTCAGTTGGGAGTTTTCCATCATCACCCATGCGACAGTCATCAGGATCACTTGCACCTCAAGCTCCTAGTTCTTCTCATGCGCAGAACCAATATTCTCCTATATTTTTGCAGGTTACTTTTATTTTATGCATGCCCTAATGCACTGGATATTAGGAATTAGGTACCAACTGGTTATAATGATTATTTTTGGCAACCCAAAATCATAGGGGATCAGGGATTACCATATGATTTTGAGCCTGATGCATATTGAGATTGTTTTGAAGATTAGTCTTGATCTTGTGAAAAAGATAAATAATTGCTCAGGATCTCCTTTTCCCTTCCTCTCTGTGTTTGTGATAAAGAAGAGAGAAATTTTGGATGCTTAGGTTTAACGCTGCATTTATGTGCCAAATGTGTTCAATTTTTTTTTAACCTTATACTGGGATTGTAAGCTAGAGATGTGAAGGCAAGAGTATAATGCTTAGGATCTTCAAGCAATTGTAGAATCTACTAGAAGGATTGGTTTGAAGGTGAGGATGGTAGGGATATTGTTAAGGAAGTTCACTTTAAAAAGCCTAAATAATAGTGATAATAGTGACAACACCCTATTTGTTTGAATGTCCAATATTATATTTCAATCCAAGTGAACTTGAGAATCTGTTGTGTAAGATGGTCATTGCGAAGTTCTAAAAATAGTTAATGTGTTCTGCAGTGGATTGATTGTGTTTCACAATTATTGCGGATGCATCCGTTTGCCTTTGAGTTCTCCTCGGTATGTGTGATTTTCTTCTCTTATGATGCTCATCCTTGCATGCATTAGAAGTTAGCTGTTGAGATCAAATGAGTTGAAGAAACTGGTTTTGTTTCCTCATCTCACTTTTTTTCTGACTGGTGTATTGTTTGATGGCTTAGGCTTTCCTGGTGGACTTATTGGACTGTGTGCTTTCATGTCGTTTTGGTAACTTCTTCTGCAATAGGTGATTCCTTTTCTCTTATTACCTTTCAACTTCTGCATTGGGATATCTTAAATAGATTAATATCTTAAATAGATTAAGGCCTGTGGCTTCTGGCATGCCTTTACATGATCTGTCCGAACTACATAGATTAGAAGGAAATATAATTAATTTAGAATCAAGAAGTTTTAATTTCAAACTCAATACTGGATTGGAAGCTGAAAATTCAGAATATCTCAAGACAAACATGGATTCAACAAATCTTTGCATGAACCAGAAACTAGAATAAAGAAGAGCTGCTTCATTTCCTTTAATCTTAAAGTTTAACAGATCATCTGTACTTTTGATCATCTTCTTTGGATATAGAGAAGTTTGATAAATTTAAAAAATGAAAGTGGTATCAATGTCCTGAAATGGGTTACAGCAAATATAATTCCCATAGAGGCACCATACTGATTTATTCTACCAAAATGATTAATGACATTGTTGCATCTTTTCAGATGCATATATGACATCTGTTTGTTGCATATTTGTGGCAATGCAGTGTCATCCGTTGGATGATTTCTGGTAGAAGTCCCTTCATCTTCCTAGAAATAAAGAGACAATCATGTAGCTTTGTCTGAAGCATGGTAGTGCATCTGTGTAGGAATTTGTCGTTTTTGTGGCATTTGGTTTTAGAACGGTTCGTTAGAGCATGCAGTTTCTTCTTTCCTAAGTGAAGTTCAACCTGTCAATTCTTCTCCTTCTCATAAAAGTGGCAGTTCCTCAGTGTAAAAAGTGATGACCCCCAAATTTATCATCTTTTTGATCTTTTCTTGTCAGCCCGTTCATTTTACTTATTGACTACCTCTTAGGTTGGACTTGGTTCCTGTTGAAGACAGACCAAGGGGCAACTTTATGCATAAATGCTGAACATTAGGATATTGCATACAGAGAACCCTCACCATGTCCTGTTTACTCTAATCACTCTAGCACATAATGGGACCTGTCCTGTCAAGTCCAATTATGGTGGAAACATTAAAATTTCTCTTTCTTAGTATTAGTCTAAATTTTCAGTGAGAAGGAAAGGCAGCTAGTTGGTGTCTCTGAATCTTGTGGATGCTTGTGGGCTTATTTGGCTGATTTGCGTTCTTCAGAGGGAAGGTCTCATGTGCACTATAACCTTTTTTATAGTCCTCTGAAACATAATGGCCCATTGTTACCTCCAGCAGCAGCTTTAGCCCCGGCTCTATGGCCCCAGTTCCATCTTCGGTGGGCTTGTCCTTCAGAAGCCCAAGCTGGGGAGCTTGAAGCTCAATGCCGGAATATGTCTTTAAAATTCTCTGAACTACAGAAGGTAATGAACTACTTTCTTGCTACTGAACCAATACAATGTTCTCATAAAAACACGATCCTTTGAACCAATACAAGGTATAATATATTCTTTCACATTCTTTTCTATTCCTTTTCTTCTTCTTTCTTCTTTCTATTTGGTTTGCACGTTAGTCTGCTTTTTCACTGACTGTCACTTAACTGACCAGGCAAAAGAAGGAGCAGAGAAGAAAGCTAAAGAAACCACAAATGCCATGGAATCATTATCTGCAGAACTACAGAATGAGAAGCGACTCAGTAGCTCTGCTATGGCATTGGCTAAGAGGGCGAGCAAGGAAAGTGCAGTCATAAAGCGAGCCATACAGTCAGTGGGATGCAAAGTTCATTTTGATGCTGGTGGTGATACTACTGTTGATATCGAGACCAACCCTATGGGAATTACACGGGAATCTATTTCTCACTCAAGAAGAGAATCTGATGGTATTGTCCAGCATCAATACAATTCAGATTTATCGATTTCCATTTCAGCAGCGGCAGATGATGTTGTTTCCAACAATCCACTCAATCGAGTGTGTGATGCTATATGCCCTTCACGCTCAAGAGATGGAGGCTGCCGGTGGCCAGAGGCTGGTTGTGCTCAATTATGTAGTCAGCTTATTGGGGTGAAGGCAAACTACGATGCAATTGATAGTCTCTCTATATACGAAACTTATTTTGACACAGTGAGTACCTTATAACTCTATTATCCATGCATTGAATTAGACTTAAATTCTCCGTAATAATTGGTTGAGTTTTTTTCATAGAGAGGAGAAGGGAAATAGAGTTTAAAGAGAAGTTTGAGATTTATTATAGCTCTCAAGCAACTCAAGCGTAGGGTCAGTGCAGAACCCTCAGATTTTGTAATCGGGACTGTTCATACGGAGAACATAGAGTTAGGACCACACTATCATTTAGCGTAGCTTGTTTTCCCTCACAGAAGAAAAGACAAGCAAAGCTTGATGTGATGATGCAGTGAAAGGCAGATGTATATCAAAGGGGCCGGCTTTTCATCTAGTTTGCTGTACAGATTTCAAACAATTTTAACATTTCCATTCTGTTTTCTATCACCATAAATGTATAGAGCAATATTCATAACATGGGACCTTCTTCATTGTTCGTAATAAAGATCCCACAATTTTATGTTTTATCAATTTTCCTTTTCCTCCTTTCATTAGGGCATAGAAAGAGAACCGAAATGGATTATCACGCTTCCATGGCTATTTCGCTGAAGCATCTCTTCCCTTTTTTTATATTCACTATAAAATGAAGAATCTCTATGTACATCATGGGTTGCATCGATGCCACCTCTCCTGCTCTATATGTAACTTCAACGATACAGAGAACATTTTACACGGGATACAACACCAGGGCGAAAATTATTCCTGTCACAATGAAGCAGCATTGGGGAATCCAACATTTCTCAGAATTTATTCACCAATCTCCTGCCTACCTCGTGTATTGCAGGCAGCAGCTCTAGATTCGAAAGCCTAATGGAGTTACCAATGCCAGTCTCCAATGCTAGCGGGCTGGTGCTGATAATTAGATTACGGTCCAAGTAGTAATGATGCATCGGTTTGCTGCCATAAATAACTAGCACTAGTCTTCGAAGCGTCGGCGTAAAAAGGAATCCATATGCGTTTAGGTAATCCTTCCTGCTCGATCAATTAAAGTGCCAACTTGGTCTCCACATAATGCTCTTGAGATGTTCCCAGGCTCGAGCAAATTAAAGACCACCACTACACACGACAGAGAAGCACATAGGCATTAGCAACGTAAGTGGGTTTGGGAGGAAGAGCAAATCAGTATAAGAAAATCATTACAAACCAGGAATCCCATTCTCTTCACAGTACGTAATTGTCATCATGTCCACTGAGGTAGCCCCCCTCGAAATGACGTCTCTGAATGATATGTGATCCAGTATTGTATTGCTGCTATCATAGACGCCATTAACAATGGTACCTTTAAGGAGTGCATTTGCGTTGACTAACAAAAGATAAAAAAAAACAGGCATCAAGATTCCATCCCAAACAAAAGCAAGGGCAGAAAAATAAAATAAAAGCAGGCAGAGGGTAATACTCTCAGAAGCTCTCAGAGCAGCTGCTGTGTCGGTAGTAAATAGAGGATTCCCAGCACCAACGCCACCAAATATGACAACTCTTCCTTTCTCAAGATGTCGGATGGCCCGTTGCCTGCTATAGGGTTCAGCTAACTCTGGCATTGCAAACGCACTTTGCACACGAGCTTGAACACCGTGCTTCTCCAAGGCTGATTGAAGCAAAACTGAATTCATAACTGTTGCCATCATGCTGACATCATTACATCACAAGTTAGCATATCATCACAAACTAGCAACAGGCAAGTTTAGGATTAAGACAGTACAAAGAGATTTTAAGCTATTATACATGCTACTGGGAAACGCAAACATAGTTAACAGGACAATATTCAGGATTCGATGACTGAAATAGATACTTCAATGCAAATTCTAAGAGGACGGTGCATCACCCAATCTGGTATGCAGTGGGCCTCTCTAAGCCAGTAGCAGAAATCCACGATTCTCCACAAAAGAAATTACGACCTCCAAGAACAATTGCTATCTATAAAAAGCACACAAGAGTAAGCATCTTGTAATTTGAGTCTGCATTGCAGGACACTAGCAAGAATAAGGATTTGGGAAAATACCTCCAGTCCAACACGGCTAGCTGTTGCTACTTCCTGAGCAATCTGCATAGCTACCTAGAAACAGAAGAAAGCAGTTTAGCTTGCATTTTTCATACATCATCATTCCAAAGATAAAAGAATCATCCAAATACTGAATCTTGCACCTTGGGGTCAATATTCTGGCAATTCCCAGCTAATGCAGAACCGCTGATTTTAAACACTACTCTCTGCCATTTTAAATTCGTCACCGCTTTAGTTTTGAGACTATTAGCAAAGGCAGCACTGCCAGATGTATACCTGCACAGACATTGGGATAGGCAATCAGCTACACATAGCAAAGTCATCAAATTAGCCATCTTAAACCATTCCACAACCACCTGACAATTCTTCTATTTAACCAAAATCCAATAATCAATTTCAAATTTGCATCAAATTAGCATAATCACAGAAAATCAAAACAAAAAACCAACCAAAAACATCAATAAAGATCCAAACCCTCACTCATCCAAAAACACTACCTTTTAACTTGCTTAACCACCGCATTAGCATCCCCACAACTCCCTCCACCACCACCACCCTCACTATCTCCCCCAGCAGCAGTAGCACCACCACCACCACTCTTCCCATTGCACGCATTCCCCATGATCACCTCGATATGCTTAAACCAATGCCAACTACTCCCACTCCCACTAATCCTCTGTAACTCCACTTTATACCTCTTCTTCAAATTATCAATCTTATTCTTACACTGCTCCACACTCTTCTTATTATTACTCCCTCCTCTCTCACTCACAGCTTCCGCTACTTCCTCCCAATCTCTCCCTCTCAAATTCCCTCTATTCAACTGATTAAATTTCTCCGTGTACGCCTCCAGCAAACACGATATCGCCGTATCGCTCCATTCCTCTCTATCCTTCCTGTAATCTCGGTAATCGCTGGATTCTAACTCTGTGTTGCTGTTTGATTTCGATCTCTTATTGTTGTTGTTGTAGTAGTGGTTTTGGTGGTTGCGTTTCGAGGAGGGTGTGGCGGACGATTTGTCGTGATCGGAGTAGTAGTAATCTCCGGTTGTCGTGACGGAGGCGGCATCTGGGTGGCGCGTTGTAGGGTGAGGATGCGGCGCGTCGAGAAGGGGGAAATCGTCGGTGGACATCGGAAAATAGGGTTAGGGTTAAGATTTCGATTTGGGGGTGGGGGAGAAGATGTTAGCGGAGACGACGTTAGGGGGATGGGTGACGGAGTGAGAGGGTTAGGCGGTTAGGTTTTATAATAGGGATTTGAATCACAGTTGGTGTAACGGATCCGTTTAAAACAAGAGAGGGGAGTAACGCGGTCGGTTAGTAAAGAGGTAAAATTTGATTATTAGGGTGTTAAAACTTCAAAAATCAAAAACGAAAAAAGAAAGAACGTTACAGCAGTTAAAATGTTGTTTTTATTTTTCTGTTTTAAACATTAGAAGATCCTTACATAAGCATGGTTATTAATGTAATTGACTGGTCTCCTTGAAAAGATTGCTTGGTATTATGGTTTCTTTTATTTTTAGTTTTATGATTAAAAAACCATTGATTGATCCGAAAATCCAATAACCTAACCCACGTTTGATGTGATTTTTATTTTTTAATCTTATTTATTAATATCAAGTTAGATAAATAATAATAAATCAAGTTATTATTTCTTACCATTCATTAAATCACGTCAGTTTAACTTAAATTTAATTGTTTAGATTTAAAACACGTGGCCAATGTATTTACATGGAATTGGCATCAAATTCCTATCCAGGAACATAGCATTGCCATCGACACTTTGCAACCGACGGGTTCTTGGGAGGCATGGCAATATTAGATCTTCGATTCGAAATTCATTTATATAAGCTTGAGATGACTGCGACGAGAACAAGTCTTAAATCTAACCACAAATCATTCACAATTGAATTAAGAAAATAAATAAGATTAATAATTTCAACCAATTTCGTTTTTTTTTTTTGGCATATTAGGCATTCAAAACCGCAAAATTACCTCATAGAAGAGGGTTTTGAACACTACAGAATGAAAGGTTATATATTATAGTGGCTTGGTGAGTGCTTTACTTCTCACCAAGAAACCAACATAAACAGTTCCCCCAACGCCCTCTCAACATAAACTTGAAATACCAGTTGGAGGAGATAGGATAGTGTTTCCCTTGTTAGGGTATGTGAAGAAAGCACAATAAGTAAAGTGACAGGACACCTAGCTTCCAGTCATTAAGTGCATGGAAATCAGATAAGCAAATTACACAGCCGGTCGATGCTCAACTGCACATTAAAGGTAGTGGATAGGAGAAGGGCCAGGATTTGAGAAAAGAAAGGAAAAATTGCACGTTCTATTTCCACGCTTCTTCGGAATCATTCTTCGTCTGCTGGAGATTGATAACCGTCATTTGACTGATCGTCATCAGATGATGCCTTCTTGGCTCTCTCGTTTCTTTCCTGCCACCTTGCCCATATCCACTTCAAAACAATGAACCCTCCAAGTGCATACACCTGAAAGCAGATTAGCTCATTCAATTAATTGAAAAAATAAAAATAAAATTACAGCATCTGCTGTCTTGGTTCACAGTAGAGTGAAAGGTGAAGAGAACTGGTCTCCTGGCAAAGGAGCCATGACCAACACTGGCTGCTCCCATTACAAGGGATACGGACAAAACAAAACTAAGACTTTAGCATTCTATTCCTCTTGAAAAGACAAGCAACGGGTAATTCTATTAGTTGCTTGTGACTTTTAAGTTAAATTCCAACAGAAGGATATTAATGAAGATTATGAGGATTATAGCCCCACTTCACAAAATTAAATCACAAGTGTCTTAAAGATTATTTACACGGCACAATTAGGTGGGATCTTGTACGGATGTAAAGGGAACTGGAGTTTTCAAAGCAAGACAGATTTTAAGGAGGATGGAGAGGGAGTGGTGACAGGAAGTTCAACAGCATCATAAGTATATATGCATGCAAGCATACACAGCAGCATACAAAGGTGTCTGTGCAAAAAAAAGGAAAAAGAAAAAGAAGAAGAAAATGATTTGCCACAAGAATCAATGACAGAAAATCAACATCATTGATTAATAGTAGCTAGAGAAGGTTGAAGATGGTGGACATAAGAAACTCAACAAACTATAGTACAGAAGTGAAAACTTCGAAAGGAAATTCATTAAGTCACTAACAACATGCCCAAAGAACAAGTCAGTCAAAAGCTAAACTAATTGAGGACCACTGGCTTCGCATAAATGACTATATAAGCTTCAAGTACTCATAATTTCCATAGCCTGAGTGGAAGAGCGATGTACACTACACTTTTTTTCCTATCTACAGAAGCTCACGGGTTAGATGAGAATACCATAGCCTGCATTCAGAAATTCCCTTCCTTTCATACATTCTCTAACCTAATTTCACAATCACGTTAACTTCACTACCTGGTTCAATTAAGCTACCATATTCTCTCCTAACAATAACCATAAATTCATTCAGATTTTGTCATATAAATCCAAGGTTTCATTACCCAAATCTCAGTCGATCCATAAACACTTTAATCCTTCACTATTTATCAAAGCAAACACCTTTCAAATGCCAACATTTACATTACCCAGCATAAGAGCTCGCTGTCAAATAGTTTCCACTTTTGAATGGTAAATGCTTAGCATCTAGCAAGAAGACAATGCTGCAGAAACAAAATATCTTGAAAATAAACTTTACAAACTCCCTCATCTTCTGTGTTACTTGACCACTCTTGTTTCCTACATTTCTAACAATCTATGCCCATACACACCACTCTTGTTTCCTACATTTCTAACAATCTATGCCCATACACACCACTCTTGTTTCCTACATTTCTAACAATCTATGCCCATACACTGCAAAAATAATAATAATCAGAATTCCTTACTCATCTTAGCATATGATTTCCCATAAAACTACATGCATGTCATTATCATTGGAAATAAAAAGATCACTAATTTTCACAAAAAAAAAATTACAACAAAACAAAAGCCCTACACGCCGAGACAAAACACAGAAACATCCACAGACCTGCCAAATGATCACAGGATTATGAGTCCTTCCACTGCTCTCTTCAACCTCAGCCTCAATCGATGAAGGAACTAAAGAACGAGTATTTGGGAAGCTGACAATATTGGGTTTCTGAATTCCACTCTCGTTTTCTCCTCCTTCAGTAACTACTGCTATTTTCGGTTCCTCTTTAGCCAGAGGGACTGACTTGTTAAAGAAAGGAACTTTGAGCTCAAACTTTGGAAAAATTGAAAACAGATTTCTGGGTTTTTGAGAGCTGTCTTTTTGGGTCACGATTTTGCTGTTTTCAGTTTCCGCCATTCTTTTTTGAGAGGATATGGAGCGTGGATTTTTCAGGGTTTTTGGGGTTTTGTAGTTGAGCGGAGATAGCAGAGTAGAGCACGTGACGAGTGATGGGAAAGAGGTAATATTTTAATAAATGGTACAAAAAATATGATAATTACGTTAACTTATGCATTAGATGTGCATTTTCTTTTCTTTTCGTTTCCTTTTCTTCCACAATTCTTATATTTTGTGAAATATAATGCCAGCATCTTCGGTCAAGTCAAAAAATGTTGTTTCTAATAATATTTTTTTAATAAAAAAACTTAAATGATATATTTTTTAATTACAACGTTTTTCACCCGATAATTTTATTTATGCATTTTAAATTCAGTAAATTGTACCTTGTGTTGATTTAAGAGGGAGGATGAGTGTTTATACATAACCTCTAGAATGAAACGAAATCTAACAAAGAGAATAGTTTTGTCAAAGCAAAGTATATACATAACCTCTAAAGATTAAATTCACTTTGCAATTTTGTACTCTTGACAACTAACCACGGCTCATCCTTGAATAATAATAATAATAACAATAATAAATTATTATTATTATTAGCAGAGTTCTACTTGTAACAATAAGGGAAGTACTCACTGGTAAAAGGATTAAGGGATGCTTCATTCCAGGCTCTTCAACTTCAACCTTCAATGGAGGAGGGGCTAATGGTTTAGGATCACTGAACTTCACAACATCAGCTGGCTTATTACCCGTAATCTTTTCTTTCTCTTCCAACTTAATAGCATCAACATCAGCTTTGGGTGATAGGTTAAATATTGGAGGAAACTTGAATTCAAATCCTCGAAACACCAGAAACAAGCTCCTGGGCACTTTTTCTTGGCCATCTTTCTTGCCCCTAGCCTTGTTGTTCTCAGCCATGGTTGTTAACACAGAATGATTGGGTGCAATTTCTTTGTTTCTCTGGCACTGTTTGCGTAGAGAAAACAAGTTCAGGACTTCAGTAATCAAAGCGGGAGGTTTTGGCTTGGTTTCTTGAAGATACTAGGCCCGCGTCTCTGGAGAGTGTTGAGCATTCCTTTGTATCTAGTACGATCTTTGCATTTCATTTTCATCTCTCTTGTCGGCTCCACTTTTAATTATTATTTTTTCATGTTTTATTTATGATTTTTACTAGTAGGATTAAAATCTTTTCCATGAGCGAGAGAGAGAGAAGATGGTAAAAGAAATTAATTCCTGAATTTTTTAAAAAATTGTGTTTTCTCATGGTAAATGGCCCAGGCATGAGGTGCCACTTGGACCCGCGCTTTTTTATCTTTTAACTTTTGTTTTAATTTCATCGTATTTTTATTAAGTTAATAAAAAGAAGGGTCTTTTTTATTTTTTTTATTATATAATAAAATAAGATAATTAATTAAAATTACAGGTTTATTTAAATTAATTATGGTTAATCTAAACTGTTTTTTTAACTTGTCAACTAAAAAAACTACGTTGAAATAAATTTAATTTAAAATCTGAATAAGAGTATTAAGTTTAATATATTGTATTATATTTAAAGTGTTAGATAAATATTTACTTTTCTTGGCAAAAAAGAAAAACGAATTACTTGGTCAACGAAGTACGCATAATCCATAGTAACATGTCACATGCTTTATGGAAATACAACGTGCCAGCTTAAAAAAACAACGGTCGTTCCATACCATTTTCGATGACGCGAAAGAAAACTATAAATAAACAAAGCAAACCAGCAAGGGAAAGTACCACAAAAATCACGCAATCTCACTGTTCTTTTCACTACCGTCAATCCACTGCTCCCCCTCTCTCTCTAGAGAACCCTGCTCTCTCTTCTTCTTCTTGAGATTCTTCGTATTTTCTCAGAAAATGAATCCGCACTTGAATCTTGAAGAGAACA